CTGTCACTGTCAATGCGTCCCAATGTATAGGGACAAGATTCTAATAGCACCCCTGTGGCGGCACCCAAGGGGGGGAAGGGGGGGAGGGGGAGTGGAGAGGAGACAAGAGTCAACGTGCGGCCCTTACCACAATAAAAATACATGTGATTTAAAAAAACAAATGATTAGAGATAGACATAAGGATATATAAGAATACATGAAGTGGGAATGATAACCTTCATTGCATGGCAGCATAATGATAGACATGGTAGGCAAACTAAAAAGGTTGGCTTCAATGTACATACTAAATGCATGATAAAAAGCATGATAAATGCATGTATATATAAAAGATGCATGATATAAATGCATAATAAAAAGCAACAAGCTAGAGGATTTACATGATAAAGTTAATAAAAAATTGACAAAAAGTTGTTAAATGAATGAATAATGTGATGTGATGTGTATGTATGTTGGTGATGGCTTAGTGCATGAAAAAACCATTGGTCCAGGAAAAGGTATGGGAGTCCAATCTGAAAACTGAAGAGGGAGGGATGATGGGGGGGAGATAGAAAAATTATCGGGTATCATTTCAATCCTAAAATGTTGTGGGAGTGAATGGTCGTCTGCTTTCTTAAGAATGTTCCTTTTATGTTCTCCAAATCTGATCCTTAGGGTTCTTGTTGTGTGCCCCACATATAGCTTGCCACAGGGGCAAATGATGCTGTAGATGACATAACAAGATGCACAATTAATGAATTGCCTAATGGGAAAGGTTTGCGCCCCAGAATAAGAGATATATTTTTTCCTATGCCACAGGAAAGGACAAGCTCCACAACTATGGACATTGCACTTGTAGCAACCCACTTGTCCAAAAAGGCCTTTACCTAGGTTAGTTCTTTTGTTGGATTTCAATCTACTGGGAGCTATTAGGCTAAGGAGATCTTTGGGTTTCTTATATATAACATTGGGGACATTCAGAGCGGAATGTTTCAGTACGGGGTCTTCCTTTAGTATTTGCCAGTGATTTTTAAGGATTTTTGCAATCCGGAAGGCTCCATCGTTGAATTGTGTGCAGAAACTTATTTTATAGGAGTTTCTATCAGTCCATTCTTTTTTAGGGATAGGCACCAAGTGTTTATTATAGGCATCCTCAATCAACCTGGCATCGTACCCCTTATCCAAAAACTTCTTGGTTAGTGTCGCCCCCAAAGTCTCGTAATCCAAGCTGGATGTACATGTTTTTCTCAATCTACCAAACAGTCCATCCGGAACATTTTTGATCCATCTTGGGTGATGGTTACTCTTGGCATGGAGATAAGAATTGCCTGACGTAGGTTTAAAATGGGTCTTAGAGGTGATCAAAGTCTAAAAACACCAAATTCTTTTCATCAATAACAAAAGTAAAATCCAGTTTAAAAGGATTGCCCTTACAATAATCTACGAAGGATAAAAATTCCTCGTCTGTACCATCCCAAATAATAATAATGTCATCAATATACCTGCCAAATAAAACCAATTTGGATCCAAATCGATTGTGGGACCAAATATGGAACTTTTCCCAGTACCCCATGAATAGATTAGCATAGCAAGGTGCCAAGCTTGCTCCCATGGCGGTGCCCTTAATTTGGATGTAATAGGTATCTAAAAACATAAAATAATTGTGCGTTAAGACAAATTCGATAGCTTCAAGAATGAAGGTGGCCTGTTCAGAGTTGAAACCACCTGCTTGGGCCATAAAATATTGGACCGCTTGGAGGCCAAATTGGTGTTCGATAGAAGTGTATAAAAAGGCCACATCCAACGATGCCCAACAATAACCCTTCTTCCATCTGTAATGTTTCAAGATATAGAGGATATGCCCAGAATCTCTGACATAGGAAGGGAGCTCGACTACCAGGGGCTGTAGGAAATAATCTATATAGCTGGCAAGGTTGGACGTAAAACTGTCCATGCCGGCTATAATGGGTCTGCCCGGTGGTTTGATTGGATCTTTATGAATGTTAGGGATATGATAAAAGTAGGGGATGCAAGGCTATTTTACCAATAGAAAATTATATTCAGACTTAGTCAAAACCCCTCCGGATAATGCGTGTTTCAAAATGTCCCCCAATAGACTTTTGAATTCATTAATAGGATTCGCTTTCAGTGTGATGTAGGTGGACATATCTGATAGTAATCTGGTTGCTTTTGTGATATAGTCCTCTTTATTGAGAATAACCAGACCACCTCCCTTATCCGCCTGTTTAATAACCAGGTCCATGTTATTGCTGAGATTTTTTATAGCAGCCTTTTCTTTTGAACTTAAATTGGTCGATCCCCCCGTTTTGCTAAAGCAAAGCCTCTTGAAATCCGTGTGGACTAACTGATAGAACGTGGGGAGGAAATTCCCTTTGGAGTGGTGGGGGTAGAAGATGGACTGGGGTCTAAAGCTGGTGTGCCTGATGTTAGGGTCTATATTTGGAGCCAATTCAGGTATGAGTTCCTGCCCATCCCATAATTCTTCAAGATCCATGAGGGTCTGTTCATCAGGATGTATGTCAAACTCTGTGGTGTCCTCTACCTCCGGTAATAGAGCATTAGTCACCTTAGAGTTCTTCAAAATAAAGTGACGGTGGAGAGTGAGTTTACGTATGAACCTATGTAGATCCAGAAAGATGGAAAATTCGTTCGGTAAGGAATTGGGGGGGAACTAAGGCCTTTAAGCAGAACAGATTTTTCTACCTCATCAAGGGGATGGGAAGACAAATTGAAGATCTTTATAGTATCATAATTAGGGGCAACTATGGGGGCAAGGCTAGGGACTTGTTTTTCCTTTTTTGCTTGATTTCTCGTCCAGCTCTACAACCTCTTTTTCTCTTTGGCATGGTGACCGTTTCTTTTTCCTGACTTTGGGCGTGCGAACTTGTGACAAAAAAGATTCAGCATCTTTCAGCACAATCCCTTCTCTAAGGGCTGGATGTTTGGGTCTGGTCCCCACTCTATTCAATTCCGATAGCGTTTCTTGTTCGTCCACTGCCGAAGCCCAGGAGTTATCGCAGTGTGTAGGGATGGTAGGAAAAGACCGGGGAACCACTGCAAGAGTGGTGCCATGGATCTTCAAGTGTGGATCTACAGGATCAGATTGATCTGGGCCTGGTGTGGAAGACCCTTGATGGAGGGCAGAACTCCTAGGAGGAGTAAAATTGTGACTCCCCCTCTTGTAATAAGAGTGGGGTCTGGAGTGAGGCCGCATGAGGGGAGGAGAGGTGGTATAAATTGAAACTGTTCAACTGATCATTAATTATTACATCTCTGGCCGTGGACAAAATGTCAACAAAATCATTCCTCTAAGAAGCAACTGGAATGGGGTACCCCTAAACAAAATCCCCTTGTTAGCAATAAAGTGGGTAGACTCCCATAGCTGGTGTAAATTAAAAACAGTGATTTTTAAATATCCACTTCCATGGATCCTAAAGGTAAGGTAGGTCTGTGCGGACCACCCAACCAGATGCCAGCCACTATCTGCTAAGAGAGCGCAGCGATGACTCATCCAAGAGGTCACAAAAGACCCCACAACAACATCCAAAGAACTGCAGGCCTCACTTGCCTCAGTTCAGGTCAGTGTTCATGACTCCACTACACTGCACGATTATCGTGCGAGAATCACGGGAAATCCCGCGATCTTACAATAATCGCAAAGTGTATGGAAGGCGTGCGACCGTTTCTACTGTACGGTCGCACGTCTTCCGTCGAACAAGCAGGTTGGAACACTCGCCGGGAATCGTACAATTCTCAGCGAGTTAGTGGCGGGCTTGCGATGATCGAGAGTGCGATCTGCCTGTCCAAGATACGTTTTTTTAATCCCTGTACAACCATCGCAAGACTAAAGTCTTGCGATGGTTGTAGAGTGTATGGCCTCCTTTATGTAGTGGACTAAGCAGCCCATACCTCGCCCGATTTTAGTGACAGATGAATCTGGTTTAAGCATTTCTTGTAACTATGGGGGAGGATTCCAGCTAGCTGGGTAATTTGTACACGAGCAGGTGACAATTGTTCAATATTTTATAGAGGAAATGGAACAAGTCTGCCGGCATATGTCAATTGCATCTCCAAGACCTATCACAATGTTCTCCTTCACTTGGTCATTGGGTGTCACCGTAACCGTAAGACCCAATGACTAAGTAAGGAAGAACATTGTGATGGGTCTTGAAGATACAATTGAAGACAAGTAGATGTGCCTGTGTATAAGCAGATTTTCTAAATCTTTTGTCAAAAGTGGTTTCTGATTATGTCCCTAAATGATACAGAACATGATATATTGAACAAAGATATATAAAAAGTAGTAAATCAATGGCAATAAGAGAACCTTACATGACAACTAGTAACACAATATATAATCTATATATGATATGATGAATATAGGCCACAAAACAGATGTAGTCTACATCAAAATAATGACAAGAAGCAGTAACAGATTTTAGAGTTCTGGTGCTAGGAGTGTGTTGTTTTATATATTAGCTGTGATGCGTGTGGAATATAGTGACATAAAAAAACTATTAAGGCAGTAACATTTTTATTAAAGAATTATTAAATATATTAAGAAATACAGCTAATGTACAAAAGTAACATTCTATCTTATCATTGGGCTCCTGTAATTCTCGGCACAGCCTGGAAAAGGGCGGGTCAATCAGGCTTTGCTATTAGGACCAGGCTCACAGTAGGAGAGAAAAGAGTGAGGAGCAGAATGTTGTTGTCATCAATCTGCTGCAGATCTTTCATTGTAAAATCAAAAAGGTGGTGGTGAGCTTTGAGCAGCATTTTTAATGAGGCTTTGTCTATGCTGCTGTGGAGGTCGAGTATTTGGCTGTGGATCACAAAACAGTATGCACAGATATATCAATCTATTGGCAGGTAAAACAAGTCTTATATATTGAATTCAACTCTGTATTTACCTACGTTTTTGGAGTTGCAAATGTTAAATGCTTATTTGCAACTGTTTAGAATTTTTAACAAAACAGTTTGCTTATTTTCTTCTCAATTAGAACAGGTGGCGGCAGTGGCTGGAGGTGTAATAGGGGCAGTGCTTCTATTGTTTCTAATTGGCTTTGGAGTCTACATCCTATGGAAGAAAAAGTGCATTGGTCCTACCTATGAGGAACTGTTAAATGCAGCAACTCCAACACAAACAGAAATCACTGGTGTAGAGCAGAGACTATCACCGTCATTGGGTTATGCCAAGGATTCAGGGTAAGATTTACAAGGATTGTCATAATTTGATTGCAAATAGATTATTTGCAATATCTATCTATCCACATCCTGCGCATGTGTGTATATACTGTATATAAATATATATTCAAATACACAAGAGTCGCAGCACTTAAGTTTCTGTATTTTCAAAAAGTTCCACCCAAAAAGGCTCAGCTAGGTCATGCCCCTGGTAGCCTGCAAACATATAATGTCATATGTATTCACAACTTATTTGTGGGCTACCCAGGCATGGCCTAGGTGAGCCTTTTTGGATGAAACTTTTGAAAATAGAGAAACTTAAGTGCTGTAACCCTTGCATATTTTACTAAACATGGGGGACCATATGTGCAGGTCCTAGTTTTGTACACTTTGGAAGAGTTCCAAAAATGTTATTGTATATGAAAAAATAACGTTATCATCATTAACAGCCTCCATGATCAGTCCAAGGTGCTGATGGTGCTGCTGCCACCATGATTTTCATTTATGTTTAATTATTTATTGAATGTATAGTCTTAAAATGTAATGGTACCTATGGTGCATAACACTGAATCTAATTTGCCTAAATGCTTTTAACAAAATATTTTTACCTATGATATTTTACGTGTATAATAATGTGAACATTATCATGGTATTTGTATGTGTGTGTGTGTGTGGGGGGGGGGGGGGGGGGGGGGGTATGCAGAGTATTTTTTGAGAACTTGCCTATCTCTGGGTAGCATTGATAAATTGTTAGTTTATAGGCCATTTTAATTGGACTAAAACATGTGATCCCAGATTCTAAACAGTGTGGATCTCCCCTACCCAGCTATTTTGACTGGCTGTCCTGTCTATACTAAAGAACTATAACAGGTAAAGAGAACTTGATTAAATTATTGTCCTGTCATGAAGCTTTTTGGCCCTGTATTTCCTATGGTAAGCTAAAACAGCTACTTCTCTAAAGCAGAACTCCAGGATTTTTTTAAATTAACCCTTGCAGCAGGGTACTGCTTGGTTAACTGCTCGTTTGTGTCTAGGTAAAAAAAAGAAAACTCATCCAAAGCTCCTAGCTGGCTTCTTCTTATACCAGTCCATGGAATGTCTCTCCCCCTTTTCTGAAGCGGTCTAAGGTCCAGAAAATCATCACATCTTAACACTGTGCATAGACGTGAGGATGCTGAGGAACTATCCAATCTGCTGCGGAGGATTGGACAGGATGTAGGGAGCGCCATGACAGCTGGCTGGCTCTGAACTTTAGATGAGTATATCTTGCTATTTTAGCACCTAGACACAAATGAGCACTTAACCCTTGCAGTGTGGAGGTAACACCACTGCAAGGGTTAATACAAAAATCCTGGTGTTGTTCTTTAACCACCTGCTTAATTACAACGGCCGGACAGTGGCTTCTTGGATGCGGGTGGGCGTTTTTAGACATCCCATCCCGCCCCGCTAGGCGGTGCGCACAACCGTATGTGCGTATGGGCTAAGTTCCTTTTATGACTGGTCAGTGCAGTTCCCTGCTACACAAGATATGTCACCCTGATATGTTATTTCTTTAGGCGGCTGCATCACAGTAAGTTACTTATTAACTGTATTTTCATTGTTACGCATAGGCTATTAGAAACCGATAAACGTCTGTTCCCACCATGTAACCAGTATGTTAGTAGTGAATATCCTTTCAGTTCTTAGTAAAGCAAGTCACAACAAAACAGTGTGAACCTTACAGTGGTAAACTGAGGACAGTTTAAAGTTAACCGGGCTGGTGATCTGTAGATAACTGCGCTAAAAAGAAGCATATATGCAGGGCATGAAAAATCCACTCGTCCACTTGTCTGTGACGAGAGGACGGTGGAGCCCGACGAGCAGCTTCCCGGCCGGCCGTTGTAATTACACGGCCGGCCGGGAGCTTTACAGTCAAGCGATCGAGCGTCTCTATCAACAGCTGTCACTGCCGGTCCCGAGATCCGCTGTGCCTGATGCGGCCGGGACCGGCACGGCTCTGTGACAGGAGATCAAAGGGAGTTCAGTATGCGAACTCCCTTTGATCTCCTCTCAGTCCCCGAATGCCGGAAGTGATGTATATTACATCACTTCCTGCATTCAGTGTCACTCTCCAGCTAGAGAAGCTGATTAAGCCGATCTCTGCTTCATCAGCTGTCTCCATAAAGAGGACCTGTCATGTAAATTGGCTATCCCATAGGGGGCTTCTTAGCCCCCCATGTAATAGCAAAAAGGAATACAAAAATTAAATACAAGAATCATAAAAAAAAAAATAAAGCATAAAAAAACTTTTTAAAAAAGTCCCCGCCCCCCACATACACACAGATATGCGTTGGGTGCGCCTACGTGCGAAGACGATTGTGCCTATTGTGCCACACATCTTACATATCTCCGCAGTGAGAGCAATAATTTTAGAGCCATTAAGGCCGGGTTCACACCTGGGCGTTTTACAGCGCTGATCGATGCGCTGTAAAGCGCCCAGGAAGTGAAATCCCATTATTTCCTATGGGCAGGGTTCCCACCTGGGCGTATTTCAGCGTGTCGGAGCGCGCTGAAAAACGCGCTACGCACAAAGAAGTACAGGAGCTTCTTTGGGGCGTATTTCCGCGCGTATCCATTAAGATACAGCCGGATAGCCCTTGTAAATGCGTGTTTGATGCGCGTTTCGCGGACCACAAATCAGGGTAAAACGTGCGGCCCGAAACGCGTGTCATACGCGCATATTTCGATCACCTAGGTGGGAACCCAGCCTAAATGAGAACTATGAAGTGAGTGCTTTTCACTCACCTCATAGTTCTAGCCGACCTGTGACAATGAGACTCACGGCTCAGTAGATCGGTAAGTGTTCGCTCACTTCTCAATCCTGTCACGGCTCTCTGCCATGACAGGGGAGGGGCTGGACATAAATTGCAAGACTATAGTCCAGTCATGCTGACTGGTGAAATTTTTGACTGACTGGTGAGACACTATCAAATTTTTCAAGCCCTGCATATATGTCTTTTAGTGAGTGCTGCTACCAATAGAAAGTTAGCTTCTTTCTCTTTAACAAAGTTGCCACTTTGGCAGCTGAATACCCCTCACCCAATTATTGTTTTTTATACATAATGGGGAATCACTCAAAGAAGGGGTATGCCAAGGAGATGCAAGAAGCCAGCAGGTAAGAATACAAAGTACTGTATAATACAAAGTCCTTAAAAAAATAAAAATCCCCAAAAATTAAAAAAATGGATTCAGCGACGTAATCCAAAGGTCAATCTTGATGTCTAGCAATGGCCACGACGCCGCCGACTCATCGAAATACAAAAAAACTGTCCGGTCGCCGACCCTTCCGCGCCCTACTAACTGCCCCCGCAAAATGACCAATTTCACAGTTGCCAGCCAAATGTAAACAAATAGGCAGAGATACAGGTGACATCACCGCTGGCTCCGCCTATTTGTTGACATTGTTTCGGCAGCTGTCAAATCGGTATTCTCAGGCCCCGGTCAAATGAAAACAAATGGGCAGAGCTGGCCTTGACGTCACGGCTGGCTCCGCTGATTTGTTGTCATGCAATGACAGGCCACTGTCCTCAAAACTTTGAACATCTGGATCGACTGAGTCGAACGGCTGAACCGAAGGGAGTCGCAACCAGCCAATGTATGGGTAAAATCAGCTGTACTCGACTGAAGTTAATAGCTGAAGGGGGTTTGGCTCCCTTCACTTTGGCATACACTTAGTGTATGTGAAGAGTTTTATCATTGAAAGGATTGTAATTTTTTCAGCCACTTTTGTGATTCATGCGCCTTGGAGAAACAGCACAGCCAGGAGGGTAACACCACTTTCTCTGTTAGGGTTAGGTAATGCAGTGGTGTCACCTCCCCAACTCCACTGAAATCATCAATCCTGCTCTCTCTTACTGCCAGCATATTTTCTCTCCATACATGTACATTGAGTTGAATATTTAAAAGCAAATAAAAAATGTCTTAGGAGGAAATTAGAAACCTAGTAGAACCTCTGCTTGACTGGTGGTGCACTCTTCAGTTCCATCATTTCCTGACATCAAGCCCCCAGTTTGAGGCTTTGCCTATGCGGCACATATTCTAGTAGTGTAAACTTACTTGCCCCTTTTGGATGGCAGTCCAGCAAGTGATACTACGTGCTCTCTCTTCTGTGACCAGAGAAATATCTCAGCCATATGCCTTTTACATCTCACTGTACTTCCACTCTCCAAATACATAAACTTGTGTAGCAGTTCTCTGGAAGATACCAAATCTACTGTGTGTTGGTTATGTGTTTAGATAAAGCACTGAGATCTTGCGGAATGCTGAATTAAGTTTTACCTGCTCAGAAGAACATTACATGTATGAATATGGCATAGCGAAAGAAAACATATAGAAAAAAACAACATCCTGTGTATTATATATAAGCAGGCATATAGAGACTAGCATTGCACTACACCACCATCTACAGCTCAAAAGACAAATTGCAGTCAGTAATACAATCAGTATATGCTGTTGCATTTCCAACGTCCCAGCAGTATATGCATTGCTATATGACGTTTTGCTGCTCTTGAAGAAAACTGTAACAATCCTTTGGCAATAGCTTGGTGAGTGCATCTGCAGTAATTTCTTCTTATGAGCAATATTCAATGTCAATAATGGCTTGCTCTTGAGTGTCCCTAAGCAGATGATACTTCACGTTGATGTGCTTTCTACTAGGGTTGACCCTTTCTGATTTTGTCAGCTTTGTATAGCCTTGGTTATCTTCAAAGATCAGGATGCGGTTTGATATGTCTACATCCATGTCTATTAAAAGGTGGTGAATCCATTTTGCTTCTTGACAAGCGTGTGCTGCTGCTATATATTCAACTTCAGTTGAGGAAAGTGCAGTAGTTGCTTGCCTTAAGCCAGAGCAACTAAGGCCTCATTCACACACAACGCAAGAGCAAAATTGTATATTGCGTATATACGTGTATATGCGCGTATGTACGTGCGTATATGCGCGTATTTATATGCATATACGTGCGTATATGCGTGCACTATATGCAATCCCAGAATGCATCACTTGTAATGGAATGTATAATGTGCTGTATGCATGTAATCATTGTAATTGTAATTTTTTTTTAAACGACGACCGCTGTCCTGTCCGCTTCCCGCAGACTCCCGCTGCATAATGGCATTTTGACAGATGGCAGCAAAACATAAACAATTGGGCAGAGCTAGCGGCGACAGATAGCTCTGCCCAATTGTGTAGTTTGAACGTCATCTGACAGGTGAGTCATGATTGGGCAAACTCATCATGACTTTGCCCAATCATGCCTCGGCGAACACACGAACTAGCGATGTTCGAGTCAAACTCACGTTCGACTCGAACATGAAGCCCAACCACTAATAGTGTATGATGTTTCCTAGCTCTTTAATTTCAAAGTTTTGTTTTAGTTTGTGAACTATTTGACTATAGTCCCCTTCTTTTTCAAAACAGGTTATAATGTCATCAACATAAATTAGGATGTATATCCATCTCTCTTTTTGATTTCTGGAATAAATACAGGGATCTGCTTTGCTTCTTGTGAACCCCTCTTTCATGAGCATTTCATTCACTTTCTCATTTCATATTCTTGCAGATTGCTTGAGTCCGTAGGTGCTTTTATGGAGTTTACACACGATGTTGTGTCCTTGCTCAAACCCTGGTGGCTGCTCCATGTAGAGATCTTCCTTAATGTCTCCCTATAGGAGAGCAGTTTTAACGTCTAGGTGTTTTACTTGCATGCCCTTCCCGACTGCAATTCTAAAGAGTGTTCTGATGGTGCAGTGTTTTAGGACAGGAGTGAAAAATGTAACGCTTTGGCACATTACATCATTTGTGCCAGAAGTGGACCAGAAAGTAGATGAACTCTATTTGTAAGTAAATGAAAAACCAGTTTTTTAACTAATGAATGTAACATGATTTTAAATCAGCATGCAGAGCTGCATGCTTATATGATTTTTAGTGAAAGAGGGTAAAGGTCCACTTTAGGGAACACATGGTAATGGAGGATTGGTCTGCCTCTTTCTTCAAAATGCAGCGGAAAATTTTACTCCTCAATCTATGTTACTACTCCCCCCTCCTGCCAGGCTCTTTATACCCACCTGATCATAATTTTACATCTTTTGGGTCACTGGGGATATCATACTATGCTCAGGACATGGTGTTGAGGGGGAAGCCCCTCCCCTCCCACCTACCCTAACCCTGTGAAGCCCCTACCCCCACCTTTGCACCAAACAATACCCCCCTGGACTGCTACAAAATGAACACTATATACCTCAACGAGGCTCTCGCACCCTTGCAGCATCACCATATGTACTCGTACCTTTCAGCTTCCTTAACCTGTTCATAAATGTTGTTCTGAGCAACCCAAAGTTAATTTGCTATTGACTGCTGTTTTTTACCCCTTTCTTATGTTTTTTATTCCGTTTCTCTCACTAATTGTAAGAATTAATACTTAATTACCGAGTGTCACACTATGACTATTGGCATGCTGTAAGTGTTGATACTGTTTGATGATGATTGTTGTAATATGAAATATGTAATCATTTACTTTTGTATATCTTGAAAACTAAATAAAACCTTACAATTAAGAAAATTAAAACTTGTAACTGCTTGTTGCATCAATTAAAGTATAATCTTTTAAAAAGCAAATGCAAACCTGAAGTTAGCACAAGATTACAATAAAATAAGATTAAGTCCACATGGCCTGTACCCTCTGCCAACTTGTCTGTTTTTTAAACTTAATTAGCCCTTAGGTTGGGTTCACAGAACATATTGGGAAGGCTGGTAAAATAGTTAAGTATATCAACAGGCACAGTCTCGCACTTGCAGGTTATAAGAATTTCTATAAAGGAGTTTTTTGGGGTTTTTTTTGCACTGTGCACTATTTCCACTAAAATGTTTGATACTTTTTAACTATAGCCCCTACATATAAGTTGCTATGGAAATGCCTGTCTCTCGCTGATGGACATCACAGCTGCAAGACTGACCCTGGAAGTGATGAGAGGCCTTCGGCCATTTGTGTTATTTCTGCAATTCACTTCAGCAACACAGCATGGTCCCCAACGATGGCTAGCCTAGACTATTGCTACTGGCCAGTGGTATAGAAAGTTGGACATTATTTGGTACTGGGACATTAGCAATCAAGTGTTCACAGTCGAAGATAGCATCTGTGATAGTTCAGTACTGCATATCTCACTATACAGATAGCTGTGGCTGCTTAGTGTCTGAATACCCAATGCAAACTGCTGAATGTCGTTTTGTTTTAATTATTGTGTTTCCTTTATGCATTGTTTGACAAATATATATCAGTTGCTTAGTAAAGCTGTTTACAAAACTCTCTAAGGTGTGTTGGTGTGCTGTGGATCCTGTTTGGGCAGTACATTTTGGCTTGGGGACAGAAATACCCAGGTTATTCTGGCGGCTCCTTCGGGGGTGAACACTACATAACCAATCAAACAAATATACAGTGATAACAAACAGTAGTAATAATAAAGCAGATAAACATAGGATAAATTATGTACAGGGAACATTATAATAGAACATTACATGGAAGCTTTACACCACAGGGAAGATATCGATTTTCCTGCCTACCATTTGTCACCCAATCTGGACAATCATACAGGAGAGGAAAAGACATTTATTTTAGGTTGCCTATAAAATCGCATTAATTAGAAATCTGAAAACGAATGCAAGTATTTTGAATACTGAGAGGATACAAGGCAAATTCAAAGCTGCATCATTTTAATACAATCATACAATACGTTCTTTCTGAACACATCTTATTTTTGGCTGGGTTATATGTGTATTTCAGTAAGACCAAAATCTGCTATCTATGCTGCTATCTAGTTCTTTTCAGGTGCTATCTAGTTCTAGTTAGATGTTTAAAGCCCAACTTCAATATCTCCCCAAACTGCACTCTTCCCATCACCTATTTTTAAAAAAAGATTTAGGTATACATACCTTAAATCCAGGTTTTTTCCAGCCAGTCACATGGTTAGTGGGGTTGTTCTTCTTCTACAGTATTAGTGGTGGTTGGCCGTCGTGGATACATAAATCGGTGCTAATGTTGTCTCTTTCACATTAAAGAGTATATTTCTGTTTATCAGTCCAACCAAAATTAAAATGAATCCACTGTGACAATAAAACAAACATTTACAATAGATTTTTAGGCACAGTGTGTGCACAGCTTTCATTTTGCAAGGGTACACATTTTTGGCCAAAGTTACACCCATGCTGGTGTACAGTGGAAATGGTTGGCATGTGCTTGGTCACTTTTAGTTAATTGTGGATTATCGACAGTAGGCTTTTTAAAGATAAAGATGTTACAAGTCTATGGCACAATTATTTTTTTGTGTCATTCTTAAAGACAGTTTTTTTAATGTTAAGTCTACCTTTTATAGCTTATGTTTTATAAATCTATCTGAACTATATCAAAATACAGTCTTGAGCATGAATAAATAGAGGTCATATTTACAAATCTGACAGGCAAGTGGTATAACATTTTACATTTTAAAACATATCTTTTTCTGTTGACCTTAGAACAAAAAGTGTACCCTTTATTGTTCCACCAAAGTTTCATGGACGAGACTGGGTTGGCGCACAGAATGGAGAACGTATTCAAGAAGACAGCGAGCCTTATAATGCTCCAGATTTCCTTCCACGATCATCCTTCTGTTCTATGGGTATAACATTTTCTATTAAAACTCTGTTGAAGCAGTGCAGTGCTTGCTTTACCATCATAATATGATAATAATGATGATGTGAAATCAGGTATAGCAATTGATGAATAATTATGGTTTCAATGGAAATCATCTTTCTGCTTCTATAAGTGGCTTAATATGAGGTTCTGGACCATCTTTGTAAATCCAATGTTTTACTAGTAGCAGTGTTTTAGACTTCCTTTGCTGGTGTACTGTACATTCTCGTATTGCAGCATGATTATTCAGATAAATTGGCATTATGGATCAGGTTCGAGTTTGCCACTGAAATGGATTTGTGGTGAATCCTGCATGCTAGAGGTTTATGGACCCAGCAAAATAATGGCGGAATTCTCCATAGTAACCATAATGCACTGCTTGACTTTGAACTATGGTCAGCTGGCTTAGAGGGGTCAATAAGGGAGCTTTTGGATAAGGTAGCCCCCTCACTATAAAAGGGTGAGGTCACAGCAACCATATTGACAATATGCTTTGTGCGCAGAACATCTGCCTCTCAAGTTTAGGCCTGCTTGCCATTTTCTTTTTTATAAAGAAGATTGCTTAAATTTAGCCCTTTCACTGCAACAGCTGGTTTGGCATATTTTGTATACATATTAAAATGCACAAAACTGTTGTGCCACTCATCAGTTAGTATGAGGTTGAGAATGTTAGCTTTATTTTTCCAGTAAAGTTTCCTATAGCTTTTCATTTTGTTGTGGCTCATACCTCCAGATGTCAATTATAACCTTTTACTGATTGATTCAAACAATCAGGTCTCGCAACCAAAGCTACCTATAAAAGCCTTTTTTTTCAATTGACTTGAATCACACTGTTTTTCCATGTTCATATTAATTCATTCATTCATATTCATATGGTATTTAAAAAAAATTTGTTTTGCTTTGTCCACCAATGGGGTTCGCAGCCATGTCTAGGTTTTGCAGATTTCAAGCAGGATTCAACATTTGTTCATCCGTTATTGGTATATTATGATCCATTTGTTTCTAGATGGTCAAATTTCAGTCTTAAAATGAGCCGCCAAGACTGTCAGCCACTGTCAGCACTACTGTACTGTAAGCACTACTACAGTAAAGTACCAGCTGTTGCTAAAAAAAAAGTACATTATTACATAGGCACCCTTTTATATTACTATACAGAGGAATAATCATCAGATGGAGGGTTTTTTTAAAGTGAAATCCAATTTACTTAAGAAAAAAATGTAAACAAATGCAGATTCTGTGTCATTTACTACTATATGATAATATCACTGATGTTTCTGTTTTAATTATGATTGCTGGACAATATAATAATTTTATCTACTCTCGCAATTGTTTAGGGGGAGCATATGTTTTGGGCTCCATCAACCCAGCTTTGTACAAATATCCAGATGATAATGAAGAAACAGACTTCCCTGAAGGAAATATCGGGCGCATTTGGTTTGCTGTAGAGTATGAACATGAGACAGAGAGACTGGTGGTTTCTCTTATTAAAGTAAGGAACCTTCACTTCAACTCAGACTCTTGTAATCCATTTGTGAAGATGCATCTCCTGCCTGATGAAAGGCGTTCTCTTCAGTCAAAATCAAAACGTAAAACCCTGAACCCCCAGTTTGATGAAAACTTTGTCTTTCAGGTATGAATACATATAACAATTGTGCTGACATGTTCCTCCTGACACTTATCAGGAGGAAGGTTTTCCTTTTACAAAGACTACCTAAATTCACAGAGGTAGTTAAGGAGACATAGTTGAGGTTGCTATGTCTAAACACTTCAGGTTCTACACTTTTTTGTAGAGGGGAAAGGGTAGAACCTCCTATGGGATTTGTTTTGTGCTCCTGTCCAAGAGACACCCGTTTCCCTCATTTCCTGTTCTGGAGTCATAGGGATAAAACATAAGGGGACATCATCTTAATGGAATTGCATACAGTAGTGAAAGCCTACCAAAAATTCTAACTCGTCCCTTCTGTATTTAAACTACAAAAACAAGTTTAGCTTTATTATGATAGTCCATTATTAGTTTTCTGTTGCAATATTTTTATTAGAGTTTTACAGGGGTACAGTAAAATACAATACAATACAGATATTCTGACTCTGCTATGGGGACAATCTCATGGGGGTGAGTAGTAAACATACAGAAGTCATCATATAGGATGGTTGTCAGGTGTGACTCACATTCCCACTCCTCATAGCTTCCCAACCTCTGGGTACCTGGTCGGTTAAGGCTAACTGGATGTCAGTGCCTAAGGGATGACGTAGTTAGAGGTGTTATGGAGAGTAGCGGATGACCGAAGATTAGGTCTCTGTGTCCTCAGGCGGCATACAAAATGGCCTCTTTGGTCTTGTAGTAGGTGAACTTGATGAAACGAGTTGTGTGAGTGTTGGGTTCCGGTGGCTGGATGGTCGGTCAGGTAGGCTTATGGTGGCTTTTGTCTGCTTTCCAGGGGACCGGCGGAGCGGAGCTCACTCAACCAGCGGCCATCTTGGTCGGCAGCTCGCCACGCCCCTCCCCATTATTAGTTTTCAACATAAATTATTTGCAGACATCAATTACAGAATTGCAGCATGGAAACTGCAAAAGGGATTCCTTATCCCTAACAAATTTAACATGTTAGAAGTGAAGCTCTGTGTCCTGAATGGCTGGCATCTGTCTCTGTAGGCACATTCAGAATTCAGTACACTGTGGTCAAATTATTAATGGAGGATTGTTTAAATGGGCTACTGTAGTCAGCACTTTGCTTGCAGCGTTATCAAATGAACTGACAAATGTGAACATTTGTTTGTGGAACCCTGGACCTGAATTGTTTTATATACAGGTGAAACTCGAATAATTAGAATATCGTGCAAAGTTCATTTATTTCACTAATGCAACTTAAAAGGTGAAACTAATATATGAGATAGACTCATTACATGCAGAGCAAGATAGTTCAAGCCGTGATTTGTCATAATTGTAATGATTATGGCTTACAGCTCATGAAAACCCCAAGAACCCCAAATCCACAATCTCAGAAAATGAGAATATTACATGCAATCAATAAAACAAGGATTGTACATAGAACAATATCGGACCTCTGAAAAGTACAAGCATGCATATGTACTCAGTACTTGGTTTGGGCCCCTTTTGCAGCAATTATTGCCATTACTTTTGCACGATATTCTAATTATTCGAGTTTCACCTGTATTTGTGGAACCCAGTTGATAGTACAGTTCCCCTGTATGACAGGCTAATCAAGTGCCAAATCCAGTTACTAAAGGATGCACAAGCCTCATAATGAAAACAAAAAATGTAATGTAACTTTCCTGACTAAGGCTACATGCAAGTGGGCCTTTTGCATTTAACAGAGGAGAAATTAATCTGGTAAGTATAAACAACCTTAAAAATACTTCCCAGATCCATTTATCCTGTATTTATGTGTACTTGAATTACATGTGTCCAGCTGCATAAAGCCAGGCTAAACAGTTCCTGGATTTCTTATTTTCATATTTTTTGTTTATGTAGTTGAAGCTAGAGCTGAAAGCACCTAGATACTGCGAGACATCTAGTGTGCATTCAGTCATAAAAAAACATTACATATGTGTTTAGAAATTAATTCCATATGTTTAGAAATTAGCTGCAATAGACTATAATTCCAATACAAATTAGTAAACTAAACATCAGATTGCAGTCTATCACTTGAGCTAGCTTGTAATGGTGGCTACTTTATAACACACTAAGGGACAATGGGGGACAAAAGTAGCCACCTTCCAGAAGGAAGGACATTGTCAGCACCAATTTAGAGATGCTTTGAGGATCTAAGCTGAGTGATACACAAATAAGCTACATTTTTGTTAATAGTTAAGGTGCTTGAATGCATTTTTAAGATTTACCTCCTGAGCCTAGTGTCACTTTAATGCTATATAATAACTGGCTGAGTTGTTAAAGGAAGCGTGTCATGAAAACAAACAGGCTGGCTTGTTAACACTTCTGGAAATGCAAGCTGCCTGGCTGCTATCACTATAGGGATCACCAGCAGGAGGAAGTAGGTCCTGATTCCAGCATATAGAGCCTTAGTAAGACCCCATTTAGAATACTGTGTTCAGTTGTGGAGCTCCCACCTATAAATTGTTATGATAGAATGTGTCCAGAGATGGGCAAACCAAAATGGGACAAGGTGTGAGGGATAAAACTTATCAGGAGAGACTGCAAGAATTTAAACGCTATGCAAACTCTAAAGCTGGCCACACACGGCTCTAATTTTCTCGTTCAACCCACGGGCTGAACAAAAAAAATAGAGCAGATTCCTCCATCAACACATTCCTAGTGTTGATGGAGGAATCCCCTCTGTTTGCATTGTATTCTGACAGTGGCCTTGGCTGCTCATTATTACCCGCCCGCTCTGTTCAAATGAATATTTTCTGACCAGCTCCTTCGTTCAGCTGATCGATGGATAGCAGCCGAAAGGGTGCCAACAGCGGCACCCACTATGCAAATTTTGCCTGGTTCCTCCTTGTGTATGGCCACCCTAACAATGAACTTCTCTATTCTTGCTCCTTTTTGGTTTGGTACATAAACCATTCAAAGCATTTTTTTTTATATCTGTTTGATAAGTGCAAAAAAACCTGTTAATCTTGTCAGATATTCAGAGCTGCCTTATGCCCTCTGCACACTTATTGTGTTGTCTCAAAAAGCCCTCCTAATTGTTATCCTGGAGTACAGAATGATTAGCCTATATGTTGTAGAGATCTGGGACTGGAAGTGCTTTCATTAGTTAAAACCCCTTCACGACCCAACCCGCGGCCGGAAGTCTGTTTAACCCCTTAAGGACCCATCTTTTATTAACCTCATCTTTTATTAACCCAGTAGCCATAGTCAGTGGATATCTGCTTAGCAAGCTAAGTATTATATATATATATA